CCGTCCTCGGTCTTCACCTTCACGAAGTTCTCGGTCTGCGCGCCCTCTGACGCCCGCTCGTCGCTCTGCGTTTGTCCGGCGAGGAACATCGGCGAGGCGTCGCTCTCGCCGTCCGACCGCTCGGCGAGAAGCCGACTATCGTGGCTGTCCGACTCGGCCAGGGAAGGTGCTGCGTCCTCAGCTGGCTTGGAATGCTTGATCCTAAATGGGCCACGGAAAGTGTTGCGTCCTCAGCGGGCTTGACCCGAACAGCGTTTGCACTACAGAGTTCACGCCCATTGCACCAGATTGCCTGCGCCACCTCGGCGATGCATCGGCGGGCCTCGGCGATGCATCGGCGATGCGGTGGGCTTGGCCTGCACTGTTGTGGCAGCTGTTGTGTGTGTTTTTTTTTTGTTTGTCTGGCTGCTGTTGTGGCCTGCTGTTGCTGTTGTGTTGCTGTTTGCTGTTGCTGTTTTGGCTGCTGTTGTGTTTGCGTTTGTTGCTGTTGTGTGTGTGAGTGTGTGGGAGAGAGTGTGTGTGTGTGTGCGTGAGTGTGCGAGTGTGCGAGTACGCGCGTTTGTGTGTGCGCGCGTGAGCAAGCGTGTTTGTGCGCGCGCGCTTGCGCGCGCGCGTGACCACCGGGCGTCGAGGCTCGACCCTCGACCCTCGGAACGTGGGCCCCGGGTCCAAGCTTGGCCATCCTCGGATCTAGGATCCGAGGTGCTCGCAGACGCTCAGGACAAAGGTCTCGGATCCTCGATCCGAGGAAGGAGGATCAAGCCTGCTCGACGGCAGCGTGGGCCCGGGGGCGGCGACGAGGGAGATCGACAATCGCCGAGGCTCGACCCTCGAGCCTCGGATGTCGAACCAAGATCTTCGAGTCCAAGCGTTGCGACCCTCGGGTCTAGGACCCAAGGCGCTCAGAGATGCTTGGCACCAAGATCTCGGATACTCGATGCGAGGATCGAGGATCGAGCTTCCTCGATGGCGGTCTGAGCGCCCAAGGACAGCGAGGGCGATCTGCTATCGCCGCGGCTTGATCCTCGATCGCCGGATCGCGAACCCGAGATCTACGAGTCCAAGCGTGGCGATGCTCGGATCTAGGATTCAAGGCGCTCGAAGATGCTCGGAGCCAAGATCTCGGATCCTCGATCCTCGATCCGAGGATCGAGCCCGCTCGATGGCGGCCTGGGCCCGAGGACGGCGACGCGGGCAATCGACGATCGCCGAGACTCGACCCTCGATCCTCGGATCGCGAGGCCGAGATCTTCGCGCCCAAACGTGGCGATCCTCGGATCTATGATACAAGGCGCTCAAGGCTGCTCGGAATCAAGATCTCGGATCCTCGATCCGAGGATGGAGCCTCCTTGATAGCGGTCCGGGACTGACGACGGCGACGGCGCCGATCTACTATCGCTGAGGCTCGATCCTCGATCCTCGGATCCAGGGCCGACGCCGAGGCTGATCTTCGAGCCAAAGCCTGGCGATCCTCGGATCTAGGATCCAAGGTGCTCGAATATGCTCGGACTCAAGATCTCGGGCCCTCGATCCGAGGATGGGGGATCGAGCCCGCTCGACTGCTTGGTGCATGATCGAGGATCACTCGGCGAGAGGGGGGGGTAGCGCCCCGCAGCTTGGAGCGCCGCTCGCGCGTGCTCGAACGCTCGGCTGGAGCTTGAAAAACAAATGGGGCTCGAGCGCGTGCCTCGAGGCGCTCGCGCGGGACTCTCTCAGCGAAAAGCACGGAGGCGCTTGGCTCGGGACGCTCGTGCACCAGGCGCCCGCCGCCGCTCGGCTCTCTGGCGTCCGCGAGCATGAACTTGTCGGCCTCGTCGGCCTCCGGCTCGGCCTTCGCGTCGGCCTGGCTCTTCTCGGGCTCGCGCTGGTTGGTCATCTCATCGTAGTCGGCGCGGATCTTGGCGAGCGCATGGAAATTCACTTGATGTGCTGGTAGAGGGGCGCTGTCTCGACGGCACGCTGCTAGTCGGTGCTTGCGTAGTCACGCTTGGAGCGCTTGTCCTGGTAGCTCCGCTCCTGGAGCTCGCGGGCCATGTCGGCAGTGCGCTTGGGGCTCCAGCGCCACTTGACGACCGCTTGCGCGGTGGCTCGGCGGCGCTCGACGCCGCGCCGTTCTGGCGGCACCAAGTGACGAGCTGCTTGGCCTTGGGGATCAACTCGAAGAGCTGCTCGGATTGCACGCCGGAGGAGAACTCCTTGCCCCGCTTCTCGACGAGATCGAATGTCTCGTCGATCGGCAGCACGAGGTCGTGGAGGTGGAGGCGCTCGGGGGGATGTCGGGGAGGCCCTTGCCGACGCGCTCGGTGTAGGAGCCGAAGGCGAGGCGCTGGGCGTTCTCGGTGCCGAGCTCGATGTTACTATTCTTGGCAAGCTCCTGCATCTTCGCCTTGAAGCTCGGCATGAGCCAGACAAGGCTCTCGGGCGGCTCTCCGTGATTCTCGAAGATGTCGCAGAGGCGGTCGCCATTATCGCGGTAGGTCTTGTAGGACGACGCCACCGCCACCTCGATGCGCCTCTTGTCCTTCTCGTTGAAGATGTGCCCGTACTCGATGCTCTTGAGAAAACCACCATTGTAGACCATCTCGAGGACGGCCTGCTGGGCGCTGCTTGACCGCGGGGCGCTTTCCGCTGCGAAAAAGCAGGCCGTCATCCTTGCTGCGTCAGCGCATCACGCGCTCGATTGGCATGGGCTCATCTCGGCAATGGCGATCCTGTCCGCGATGAAGGACGGTTTTTCGAAGATCTTCTCGTTCTGCTTGGCCGTGCGCTCGAGGATCTCGTTCAATTCGAGTTCGGGTTCGCGATTCCTTGCAGGGCAGCGACAGGCTCGGTCGCCGCCTGGGCGCGCTCGGCGGCCTGGGACATTGCTGAGGCTTGCGACGCACTCAGGGGCAACGATGTGGGGGGGGGGGGGGGGGATAGGTATTGGGGGGAAACATCGATTTGGAATCAGCGATACATCTCGCCGATGCATCGGCGATGCATCGGCGATGCGCGCCCGATCGTGAATCCACACGCTCCTGGGCAGGTTCGGGCACTCCTTGCGATCACAGGCGATTGGGGATCGATGCGTCCCCTTATGCCTATCCCTCCCTATCGCTGCCCCTGGGGCGAAGAGGCTCTCGGCGCCTCGAAAAAGCTCGAACACTTAGGGTCTCGGAGACTCGGGAAAGCTCGGCCCTGGGCAGCAGCGGGAGAACAGGAGGAGGAGGAGGAGGACGAGGGGGAGGAAGGGCCACGAAACGTGTGAGGGATGCGCTAAACAAGTAACTCCAATGCTCCGCCTGCTCGAAAAACGCACGTACGATCAAAATCCAACAGGTCCCCGAGGCCTTCCCACACGTTCCTGACTCGGGAACGGCTGAGGAAGTGAGAATCCCATGGCCCTGCCGCACGTTCGTGGTTTGGGCAAACCAAACTGGTGAGAATCCCACAGCCCTGCCACACGCTCGTGGTTGCGGAAGCTGATTTGGTGAGACCACCATGGCCATGATCAGGGTTTTTCATGCTGTTGCTAGTCAACATGAGATGATGGCAACTTCGATTCGCAACTTTCCCCGTGGATTATCAAGCCTCCGCGCCCCTCTCCAAAATTAAATCCTATTGAACGGGGATCAAGCAATAGAGGTGGACCAGGGGGGGTCTGCTTTATTATGCGCCGAACGCGTTTATCGACCTGGCTCGAATAATGGCGCAGATTGGTGGGGTCCAGGGCTCTGGTCGCGATGTTCTGCGATGTTGCGATGTTGCTGCAGCGTCGGATCTCAAAGGTGGGGTCCCATCTTGTGAACGTTTTCGGAGTCGGCGGTTCGACATGGGGCGGAAAGGAGGGGGAAGGGGGTCTGGCTCCAGACCTCTACTTCATGCGACTGTTTGCAACAGGGCGTCCATTATGGGGGAGACCCCACCTGTTCGAAACAGGCGCCAAAAACAGCCAATATCTACTCCACTCGGGGGGGGGTGAGGGGGTGCAGAAACCGATCTGATTTTGTTTATATCGCTGCGTTTTGGCTGATCCTGGCCTCCCGGAGACATCCTCGGGCCCAGGTGTGAGCATACGGCTGGGTTCGCTCACGGACCCCACCTTGGAATAACTAGCCCACCCTCTACGATTGCCATGACAATTGACACCCCAACACTCCGACCTTTGAACTAAGCATGTGTTTGAGACATGTAGGGAATTGTTATAAACATGTTCTGACCATGATTTTACATGTTTAAGGCATGTTTAAAGCATGGTTCAGACGTTTGGAAAGTATGTGGCAACATTCTTCCACTCCATTGATCGTCGCCCACAACTCTACGACCCGCCGAGAACAGGGACGCCGCCGCAGCGCTCGCGCAGGCCTGGGGGAAGGGGCGAATGGGGCGGCCACAACGCGCCGACCCTGCTACTCTCCAGACCTCTCCAGGGGCAGGAGAGCCCAAAATCGAATCGAGAAGTTTTGTGGGGGCACAACGGTGGGGTAGGGGCAAAGGTGGGGTTGGAGGGAAAGACGTTCCGAACGGCCCCTGGAAGAAGGAGGAAACGCGTGAAACGGGAGCATCCAGCTGGGCCCGTTCCTCAGCCCCACCGTGGGAGAACCCTCCCTCTGCGAAACCCCGAAAGATAGATCGGTGAACGAAATGAATCGGATCGGCGGAAACCGGCAGTCAAGCAGGGAGGAGTCGATTAGGCGGAAATCGGTAGGCCAATATGCCTCCAGTAAGAAATCGACACCCAAATCAAAATCCCAAGAAGAATCGAATCGGAATCGAAAGCCATCGAAGTCGAGTCGAATCGGAGGAATCGAAGCGAAGGCTGCAGGGGTGCGCTCTGGCCAGAGCTTCGAAGCGAATCCGGCCGTGGCGACGAGGAAAGGACCAAGGGCAGAAGTTTCGGTAGTTACCTCTTCCCGAAGGGGCGCGACGAGGGGGAACCGGCTCCGGGGGGGAGGGAAGCGCTGCCTTGGAATATCGGCGATGCGCCGCTGTTGGATCAGCGACAGGCCCCCGATAGCGCAACCGCACACTGAAAGGTGGCGAGGGGCACGCAAACAAGTGGCACGCGTGCCCTGGCTCTTGCCCAATCGGACAACGAAGGACGGGGGGAGGAGGACGGGCAGGAGGAGGATGGGAGCGGGGACCAGGGCTCCAGGACGACAGCCAGGGGAGGAGGACGAACCACGAACCGCGAAAATAAAGATCAAGGGTCCCGCAGCCCAGGCGAGCTGCCCTGGGAGGCCCGGAGGACGAACCACGAACCACGAAAATAACAGGGTTCCGCGGCCCAGGGGAGCTGCCCTGGGAGGCCCGGGGGACGAACCACAAACCACGAAGATAAAAAGGGCTCCGCGGCCCAGAGGAGCTGCCCGGCCGGGGAGGCCCGTGGGGGGGTCCAGGGCCCAGGGAAGCGGGGGAAGGTCAGCGGGCGGTTCAGGGTTCAGGCGCCAGGAAAACCAGGCCAGGCGGGGGGGCAGCGGGAGGCCATGGCCCAGGGCCCAGGGAAGCCAGGAAGCCAGGAGAGGAGGCCAGGGGAAGAGGACGAACCAAGGGAGGACGAACCACGAACCACAAAAATAAAGAGGTCAAACCTCGGGATTCCCAGCAGTTTCCTAGATGTTCTGGGTTCCGTCTTCCCCCCCAGTTTCCATATTTCCCCATCTTTTCCTTGGGGTCGACGATTGATTTGTGTCTGCGTGCTTTTTCCCCCTCCTGAGACAGGCCCCCGATGGCGCGACCGCACGCTCCTTGGCAGGGTGGGCCACCGTGCTCCCCTCGGCGATGGGTCGGCGATGCTGGGGGTCGATGAGCTCCTCCCCTGAGCTGAGGTAGGGCGTGTCCTCCTGCAGGCGGACTTGTGACGAGACATTCAATACAGCAAAACATGCTGGAAGCTTGCAAGCATAAGCGAAACATCGTCCCAAAATATACATATGTATATATATAATTATGTATAGTTATGTATATATATGCATATATATCCACATATACATATATATGTGCGAGAACAAATGTTTGAACATTCCTCCTATAGAGGGACAGGATGTTTGAACATTCCTCCTGTAGAGGGACAGGCCCGACTTAACCCTGAGCCCATCCCCCCCTGAGGCTGCCTCCGACTTCCTCTCCCTGTGGACCAAAACACAAACGGCACCACCCCGCCAACGGCTCCGCGCGGCTTGGCGCATGCCAGGAGATCTGGCGTGGGCTTTTGCGTGGTATACGCTACGGCCTCCGACGGGCCGTGGCGCAACGTGGAGGGCCGTACGGCAGGTTCGTGTCGGACGTGCCGACTTCGACGTTGGTTTCTGACACCGCGGGGATCGTTCAACCTTGAACGATCGGCCGCTTCCGAAACATCAGATCGTTGACCATCGGCCTGTTCTGGGTCGCCAGCGGCGTTCAACGTTGAACGTCGGCAGCGGGGTCGCCGCTGGTCGAAACGACGCGAACCTTCGGTTGGTGGGGTGGTGTCCTCTGTTTGTTTGTCGACCCTAGGCCTGCCCCACGATGTTGGTGATGATGATGCTGATGATGATGATGATGGTGATGATGATGATGGTGATGCTGGTGGTGGTGCTACTGATGATGATGCTGATGGTGCTGATGCTGCTGTTGCTGCTGGTGAGGATGATGACTCTTACGATGGTGATGGTGGTGATGCTGCTGTTGATGTCGATGTTGATGTCGATGTCGATGTTGATATCGCTGTTGTTGATGGTGACAAGGATGATGCATTTTGTGGTGATGATGATGTTGATGTTGATGTTGATGTTGCCGTTGTTGGTGGTGGTGATGAGGATGCGGATGCTGCTGATGATGTTGTTGAGGTCGATGCTACTGGTGATGATATTGATGATCTTGGTGATGATACTGATGATGCTGATGATGAGGTGATGAGTACGATGATGCTGATGTTTATGTTGATGGCGGTGATGATGATGCTGATGCTGATGCTGATGATGATGCTGATGAGAATGCTGATGATGATGATGCTGGTGATGATGCTGCTGATGCTGATGATGGCTTCTCCATCGCTGCTGAAATATGGAATATCTCGTGACACTGCATCAGCTGTGGGCTCGCCCCAGGCTCTCCGAATTGTGTGTGTGTGACCTCGGTGGCAGGCGCCGATATCCCTTCGGCAACGCACGACCCACCTGGTGAGCGGGCAAGAACAAACTGGAAACATACAGCTTGGGCAGGACAAGCGAGAGGGTCAGTCCTGAGAGCCCAGGGACGAACCGACGAAGGCGGATCCCACATCGGTGCAAGCAGTACTGAAGGAGGCCGCGTGACCTCGACGACCCCTTCGGCGCCGAAATCCCTTCGGTTGGTCGACCCTGGGCCTGCCCCACCACCCTGGCGGCCGCGAGGCCCACCAGCAGCCCCGCGGTGCCGCACAGCGGGCCCGCGGTGCGCATGCGGCCTCCCCGGGCGGCGCACGGGAGGGCCTCCGCCGCCGGCGGGCGCACCTCCCCGCGGCGCAGGCGCGCGGCGCCGCCCGAGCCGACGGGGCCTCCGTGGACGCGCGCCCGGGGGTGCGGAGGGGGACGAGGAGGAGGAGGAGGGTGAGGAGGAGGAGGAGGAGGAGGAGGAGGAGGAGGAGGAGGAATGAATGGAGGACGGGGGGGAGGGCGAGGAGGAGTGAACGGAGGGCGAGGCGGACGAGGAGGAGAACGACGACGGCGAAAAGCTCGACGACGCCCAAGACGACGAGGCACGCTGACGACGGCGGCCGTGCACCGTGCACGCCAGCCGGGCACGCCAGGCGGCGGCGGGTGCGGAGGGGGAGGTGTGGGCGTCCGGGGCTCATCGGGCTGCGCGAGCTGGGCGCCGCTTTTCACGCGGGGAGGCGGTACGGCAGGTTCGCGTCGTGTCGACCCCGGCGTTGGTTTCTGACACCGCGGGGATCGTTCAACCTTGAACGATCGGCCGTTTCCGAAACGTCCGATCGTTCAACATCGATCGATTCTGGGTCGCCGGCGGCGTTCAACCTTGAACGCCCGCGCTGGGGTCGCCGCTGGTCGACACGACGCAAACCTACCGTAGATGGGGGGGGGAGGATGCCCTCTTTGCGGGCCCTAGATCCGCAGAAGGTTTCTATACACCACCACCGTGCCTGGCCAGGGCCATCGTGGGCCCCAGGATGGTGGATGGGCCCTCACCGAGGCCAGGAGGCCGTATACACCATGCCAGCGCCGACGGTGGCCCTGGCCAGGCACGGTGGTGGTACCACCGAGACCTTCTGCTCACTAGAGAGGTCCCCTTCTGGGCCCGAAAGTGGCCCCCTTGAGGGCCCCAAATCTGCAGCGCTCGCTGCCCCTCGCGGGGCCGTGGATACGATGGAGGTGTCGCCCGCCAAGGCACTGCGGACCCGAAGATCGAGGACTCCTCCGCGCCACCGGCACCTCCAGAAAAAACGGAAGGGCGAGGCCTCGAGGAGGGCAGGAAAGGGCGAGGCCTCGCGGCGGCGGATGATGGCTGTGTCGCGAAGACGTGCTCAGCTCTGGCAGCTAATGTGAAAACCTCGGGGCAACCTGGGGCGACACACTGCAGTTAGAAATGAAACCCCAATTGGCCTGAACAGGGCGCGATGCGCCGGGGGAGGAGGAGGAGGAGGAGGAGGAGGAGGAGGAGGACCAGTGTAAACCCAAGAATCATCAACGATGTTGGAATAAACCCTTCCTCCAAGCTCCCTCTTCATAGGCCCCTACAACGGTTCATTTCCATTGAGGGAATTGCCTCGTTGCAAGACAACCGTTTGACGACCGTGAAGCATACCAAAACATTGTTGTCGAGATTCCAACGCCACTTATCAACCTGATTGTCGCGTCTTGACGATCCTTAATCGCGCCAGAACGCCATTCCTGGGACTTCAACACAGAGAATCAAAGTAACTGGTTCACCCGCATAACCCTGAATCCTTCCAACACACAATGTCTGGTACGTTGATGGTGAGAACCCGTTAAACTCTTGAAAATGATGTAAACGAATGTGCGCGGCGCTACAGCGATAACCACATGTTGAAAAAGAGCCGCCAACAATCCGTGAAGTTGTTGTGAATGTTCAAAACGAATGCGCGCCGCGCTAAGGCGAGAGCGACATTTTGAAAACAACCCGCCCTCAATCCGTGAAGCTCTTGCACAGTTTTTAAAACGAATGTGCGCCGCGTTAAGGCGAGAGCCATATTTTGAAAACAAGCCGCTCTCCCATCCGTGAAACTCTGGCACACTTGTTCGACGAATGGGCGTCGCGCTAATGCGAGAGCCACATTTTGAAAACGACCGGTCCTCTATCCGTGAAACTCTTGCAAATATTTAAATCGAATGTGCGTCGCGCCAATTCGAAAGCCACATGTTGAAAACCACCCGCCCTCAATATGTGAAACTGTTGCCAATTTTCCAGCTCCAGAGCCATAGATGGTGAGGAAATCTCAAGCGAACCACCCTGCCCGCCCTAAAAACTTGCCTCGGGGTGCGACAGGGATAATTCATGTATAAGGAAAAGGAATGGAGGACGAGGGGAGGAGGAGGAGGAGGAGGAAGAGGAGGGGGAGGGGGAGGAGGAGGGGGGGGGCCTCGAGGGAGGAGGGCGGGGCCTAGTTATCCCCCCCCCTCCGCCCTCCAGTGCGCGTCCTCCGAACGCATCGCGCGCCTCCTGCGCGGCCGGCGTCCTGGAGCCCAGCCCCCAGCCCCCAGCCCCCAGCCCTCCGGGCTGGGGATCGACCACACAGTTGATGCACCCTAAAACTGGCCTGCTCGTCGAATCGACTAAACAAATGCGTATGAGTGCTTCGTAGATCAATGTACATTCTGCGCGCTTTTCTCCTCAGAGTCGGCGAGCTATGAATTCTGGGGCAGAGTGATTCTGCAGTCGGTCCCCTGCTCGAGCCCTCGAGCACTTGAGGGAGCCCCCTGCGCGCTGTCTTCGTGCCCTCGATGGAGGGAGGGGGGGGGGGGGGGGGGGAGCATCTGGCCGGGAGACCGCAGGGCGCGGCGCGCTGTGCTCCCTTCGCGCCCCTGCGGGTGGGCTCGGGGCTGCTGGGAGCCGAGGAAGCGGCGGGGAGAGGAGCCGAGGGGTTCCCCCCGCCGAATCACCTTTTCCCTCTCCCCTTCCCTTCCTCCTCCCTCCCCGCGGGGAGAGGAGGGCGGGGGGAGGGAGAAGGGGAGGGAGGGCGGGAGGGGAGGGAGGGGGAGGAGGGAGGGGGGAGGATGGGAGGGAGGGAGGGGGAGGGAGGGAGGAGGAGGAGGAGGAGAGGAGGAGGAGGAGGAGGAGGAGGAGAAAGAGGAGAAAGAGGATAATGAGGAGGAGGAGGAGGAGGAGGAGGAAGAGAGAGAGAGAGAGAGAAAGAGAGAAAGAGAGAGAGAGAGAGAAAACAAGAGAGAGAGAGAGAAGAGAGAAAGAGAGATAACGAGAGAGATAGAGAGAGAGAGAGAGACAGAGAGAGAGAGAGAAAGAGAGAGAGAGAGAGAGAAAGAACAAGAGAGAGAGAGAGAGGAAACGGATGTCGTTGAGGAGCGAGGTGATGAAGAGAAGGAGACGGAGCGTGGGGAGGAGAGTGATCATGGCTTCTGCTCGGCGCCGGCATGGATTCGCTTCGCGGTCGGGACTCTGGGACTGCGATCGAGGGGACGTCGTGAGCGTAGACGTCAGTGGGGGCGGAGGAGCAAGGACTGAGAGGTGGTCAGAGAAGGAAGCCGTATGCAGGTGGAGCAAGTGGTGGCTCTGTGCGGACTCGCGTGCTGCCGGGCGGGAGTGGCTTAGATCTGGGCAGAGGAGCAGAGCAAGGCCGAGCGGTGGTCAGAGGACGCCGTTGGAGGAGCGGGTGGTGGACGTGAGAGGCCACGCACGAGGCCGAGCGCCCGTGGCGGGGGAGGACAGCAAGAAGCTGAGCTGAGCGGTGGTCGGCGAAGGAGGCCGCGAGCGGAGCCAGCAGTGGCCGCGAGGAGGCACCCGTGCTGCCAGCCGGGAGGGAGGCCAGGCTCGATTTCACGGCGCGAAGCGCTACTAGGGGAACGAAACATGGCATACACCCTGCGAAATGCTTAAGAAATCATGGGTTAAGAAATTCATAGTCTCAGAATTGGAATAAAAACTCCAAGTTCCTACCAAATTCTTAGGATTTACATTGAAACAGTAAGAATAATCGAGACTCTGGCCGAAAACTTACGTTTTCTTAAGCATCGCCTAAGGCATACTTATACAAACTCGGAGGCCCGCGCGGATTTCTCGGATCCGCGCTGGACCCCCCCTGGCAGCGCCTCCGGCGTCGCCCCTGGCGCGCTCCGCGCGCCAGGGAGGGAGGCCCCAGCGCCGATCCGAGAAACCCGCGCGGGCCTCCGAGCTTTCATGTCTATGTCGTTCTTCGTTCCCCTGCGACTTCCCTGCGCGGGCGCTACTTCGTCTTGTTCGGGCCGTCGCCGAACACCGCCAGCTCCACGGCCTCGCGGGCGCGCGATGCCGAGGACGCCAGGCTCCCGGCGGCGAACGCCGGGCGGCCGACCTGCTCGGCCACCACGCCGCCAGCATCCTGGGCTGGGAAGGCCCCCTGGGCCTCCCCCTCCTCCCCCACTTCCTTCCCCTTCCTCCTAGCTCCTCCCCCTCCTCCTCCTCCTCTTCCTCCTCCTCCTCCTCCTCCTCCTCCTCCTCCTCCTCCTCCTCCTCCTCCTCCCCCTCCCTCCTCCTCCTCCTCCTCCTCCTCCTCCTCCTCCTCCTCCTCCTCCTCCTCCTCCATCTCCCTCGACCTCTCCTGGACCTCTCCCGGGGTGCGTTCTGAGGGGAACGAAGAATGGCATAAACACAAAAACTCGGGTGTCATCGCGGATTTCTCGGATCCGCGCTGGACCCCCCCTCCTTGGTGCGCGGAGCGCGCCAGGGGCGGCGCTGGAGGCGGCGCCAGGGGGCACCAACGCGGCTCCAAGAAACCCGGGCGGACCTCTGAGTTTTTCTGTTTGTGTCATTGCTCGTTCCGCTAGATCCCGCTGCAGTATTCGGCCTGACCTAAGGAACGATGAATAAGGAACGAAGCCCCTTTTTTCCAAGTAAGTCTACGAAGTCCGAAGGCCGAGCCCCTTTCTAGCGGCGCTCAGCCACGACATGCATGCAAACCAACGACGATCGAGCGGAACGCATTCAAGCCAAGGGAACGACCGAGCCCCTTTTAAAAAGCATGTGTTCCTTATTAAAGCCGGACCCTGTACTCCCTAGACCTCTCCCGGGGTGCGCTCTGACCAGGACTTCGGTGCGAAGCCGGAGGTGGCGGGAGGGCCGCCGAGGAGGCCCGAAGAGGGGAGAACGGGGGAAGGGCAGCGGGATGGGTACCTCTTCCTCTTTCTCCTCCTCCTCCTCCTCCTCCTCCTCCTCCTCCTCCTTCTCGTCCTCCTCCTCCTCCTCTTCCTCCTCCTCCTCCTTTTCCTCCTCCTCCTCGCCCTATCCCTCGCCCTCGCCCTCGCCCTCCCCCTCCTCCTCCTCCTCCTCCTCCTCCTCCTCCTCCTCCTCTTCCTCCTCCTCTCCTCCTCGCCCTATCCCCCGCCCTCGCCCTCTGCCCTCTCTCCTCCCTCCTCCCTCCTCCCTCCTCCTCCGCCCTCTCTCCTCCTCCTCCTCCTCCTCCTCCTCCTCCTCCTCCTCCTCCTCCTCCTCCTCCTCCCCCTCCATTCCTTTGCCTTATAAAAAGCTGTTCCTTGCCGCGTCCCGATGCCAGTTTTTAGGGCGGGCCGGGCGTTTCGCCCAAGACTTCCTCATCGCTTATGACCCTGAAGCTTAAACATTGGCAGCAGCTTCGCAAATGGAGGGCGGGCCGCTTTCAAAATGTGGCTCTCGCCTTAGCGCGGCGCACATTCGCTTTAAACATTTGCAAGAGCTTCACGGGTTGAAAGCGGGTCGTTTTCAAAATGTGGCTCTCGCCTCAGCGCGCCGCAAGTTCGATCTAAGAGGTTGCAAAAGCTTCGCCTTAGCGCAGCGCAAATTCGATCTACGAGATTGCAACAGCTTCACGGGTTGAGGGCGGGTGGTTTCCAAAATGCGGTTATCGCCTTAGCGCGGCGGGCATTCGTTATTCAAAACTTGCATGAGTGTCGCGGATTGGGGGCGGTTCCTTTTCAACACGCGGCTCTCGCTATAGCGCCACGCACGTTCGTTTACAAAGTTTGCAAGAATTTCACGGCATCACATCACCAACGTATCAGAAATAATGTGTTGAAAAGGTTCCGGGCGTGCGGGTGCAACAGTTATTTTGGTTCGCTGTGTTGAAGTCCCAAGAATGGCGTTCTGGCACGATTCAGGATCGTCAAGACGCAACCGTCAGGTTGATCCGTGGCGTTGGGATCTCGAGAACAATGTTTTGCCATGCTTCACGGTCTTCGAACGGCTATCTTACAACGAGATAGTTCCCTCAATGGAAAGCTGTAGGGGCCTAGGGGCCTATGAAGAGGGAGCTTGGAGGGAAGGTTTATTCGAACATCGTTGGTGGCTCATGTGTTTACACGGGTCCACCTGCTCCTCCTCCTCCTCTTCCTCCTCCTCCCCTCCTCCCCTCCTCCTCCTCCTCCTCCTCCTCCTCCCTCCTCCTCCTCCTCCTCCTCCTCCTCCTCCTCCTCCTCCTCCTCCTCCTCTCCTCCTCCTCCTTCCTCCTCAACCTCCTCCTCCTCCTCCTCCTCCTCCTCCTCCTCCTCCTCCTCCTCCTCCCCATCCTCCTCCTCCTCCTCCTCCTCCTCCTCCTCCTCCTCTCCTCCTCCTCCTCCTCCTCCTCCTCCCCTCCCCCCCCCTTCCTCCTCCTCCTCCTCCTCCTCCTCCTTCTCCTCCTCTTGCTCCTCCTCCTCCTCCTCCTCCTCCTCCCTCCTCCTCCTCCTCCTCCTCCTCCTCCTCCTCCTCCTTGCGCCGAATGCCAACCGCGGACGTGGCGGACCCGCTGGCACTCGGGGGGCGGCCCTGAGCTTTGTCCCACAACACTCAGCGCCGTTCACAAACAATACGCGGCGGGCTCAAGCCGCTCCTGCCTCGCGCAAGGCCGCCACGTCGTCGCGGAAACCAGCGCCGCTGCGGAGCTGCCGGGCCGTGGCTCTGTGCATAGCCACGGACAGCTCCGCTCTCCAGCGTCGGCAGAGGGCGCTGCTGACCGCGTTGGCCCTGTCCTCGTCCACCAGCTGCGCCTGGTCGCGCGCCAGCTGGCGGAGGTGGCGCAGGGCGGCCTTGCCGTGCCGCCCTCCAGCTTCAAGGGCCAAGGGCAGCACTGGCCAAGGGCAGCGACCCTCGGGGCACCGGTGCCTCTTGTCAGCCTCTGCTGCGGCTGCCACTGTGCCGTCGCGGCTGGCCGCTGCGGCCAGGCCCGCCGCGTCTCCTGGCACGGCGTACCGGACTGTTACATCTATGAGCAGCCGCGGGCAGCCGATACGCTGTGCCTCCATGTCGAGGATGGTTTCCTCTCTGTGGGAGACGACGGGCTGACCGTCTTCGCATCTAGGGCCACGAGAACCGCGTCGGGGCGGGGGTCGGCGAGCGCGCGCGCTGTGTGCGCCAGGAGTTTCGTGCGGGCCGCCGTGCCTATGGCATACTGGTGCCTGCCCAGGCTCTTGGCGAGCTCTGCCTTCCGCGCTGTTGCAGCGCCCGCCCAACCAGGCGCCGGAGGACGTTCGGCGCCGCGATGGGCCCGCCGCCGCCGCCTCTTCCTCCTCCTCCTCCTCCTCCTCCTCCTCCTCCTCCTCCTCCTCCTCCTCCTCCCGCTCCTCCTTCCCCCCCTCCTCTCCCCTCCCCCCTCCTCCTCCTCCTCCTCCTCCTCCTCCTCCTCCTCCTCCCTCCTCCTCCTCCTCCTCCTCCTCCTCCGTGCGGCCGCGTGTCTGCCGTGCGCCGAGAGCGCTGTGATCGGGAGCCGGCGCCCCCCCCCCCCCCAGGTGCGACCCGTGCGACCCGCCGCTCGGCGGCGAGCCGCCCCCGAAGAGGAAGGGGTGCGCCGGCCGGGGCCTATAGACTCCGCTACACGGGAGCACCGCGGACACCGCGAGGACCCCGTAGCCGGTCGCCTCGGGCCCCCAGGCGGCCTGCGCGCCGGCCCCCAGCGCCGCCCCCAGCGACGCCCCCTGGCCAGCGCAGCGCGCCAGCCGCCCCCCGGCGCCCAGCGGCGGCCGCGCCTCCGCCGCCCGCGCCAGCTCCGCGCCGCTGCCGCCGCCAGCTGCCCCGCGCCGCCGCGTGCCGTGCTCTCAAACCCCCGCTGGCCGCCCGCGCCTGGCCGCCGCCGGCCAGCGGGGGCCCGCCGCCCGCCCTGCTCCAGCCCGCCCTGCAGCGGGCCTAGGCCGCAGACCCAGGGCAGCCTCGGCGCAGCCCGGCCGCGCGCCGCAGCTGCTGGGCCAGCTCCCGCTGCAGCGCGCAGCTGAGCACCCGGTAGGCGCGCGCCAGCTCCTCCGGCTGAGCGTCCTCCGGGAGCTCGCGGACGCGGCTCAAGAGCCAGTCCCGCGCCTCTGCGCCGAGGCGGCCGCCCGTCTCCAGGGCGAAAGCCGTCAGGCGCTCGCCCGGGTAGCGCGCGTGCTTGGCGCGCTCGGCCCGGCGCGCCGCCTCGCCCGGGCGTCGCGCCGCCGCGCGCACGGCGGGTTCGTCGCCGGCCGCTGGATGGCGCACTGTCGCGTCCAGCCACCTCCTGCCGTCGACATCGTCGTATTCGACGTCCAGGATGGCCCGTTCCTGGACCGCCAGCTGTCCTCGCCGCGGCGCGCGGGCCCTGTCCCACGTGGGCGCCTGCTGCTCGTAGAGCGGAGCGCAGTGGCCCCACCTGCCAGCGAGGCTGCCCACGGCGCGCGCCACTCCCTGGCGCCGCTTAACGACTCCGCCGCCGGGCTGGCAGATCGCGGCGTGGAAGCCAGCCTCGTCCAGCGGCGCCTGACATGGGGCTCCCCCGGCTGTCAGGTTCAACGGTTCTGGCAAATCGCCGCAGCTCGCGCGAGCTCGTCGGCGGCGCACTCGGGTCGCGGCAGCTGGGCCCGGCGCCGGGTCGTGGTCTCCCAGTGAGGGCCCTCCAGAGTGCAGGCCAGCTCCGCGGGGTACTTCAAGTAAGCCCCAGCGCCTGGCCCCCCGGCAGAGAGCAGCGCCGCCTGGCTGCAGTGGTGCATTCGCTGCTTTGCAACAGCGTGGGTTCTCTTATGCACCATAGCAACCAAGGTCTTCTGCTTGGTCTGGTGGCCCAGCAAGGCCTCCAGGGGCGCCGCGGCTCAGGGTCAGCCTCATGGCGCGCCAGCTCAGCCCGCGTCGCCTCCAGCGCGGCCGCGGCCTGTGGCAGGGCCGCCAGCATGCATCCGAGGGTGGAAACGCCGGAGATGACCAGGTCGTGCTGGACCTCCGCGGCCGCCTGCGCCCAGGCCGCCCAGCACGCCGCCGCGCGTCTCGTGGCAGCCCGCTGCGCGCCGGCCCCACCCAGCCAGCAGCCCCAGCAGCTCGCTCGCCTCCGGGCCCAGCGGCCGTCGCAGCAGGCTCCCCCATGCAGCCTCTGAGCGCGGTGTCGTAGCGGAAGGTCTCCTCCGCGAGGCCAGGGCCAGTTGCAGGTGGTGCTGGCTGGCGTTGCCGGCGTAGGTGTTGAGTAGCGCGCCCGCGGCCTGCTTCTTGAGCCCTCCTTTCGGCAGTCGCTCGAGGCCGGCCCAGAGCTTCCCGAGTCGCTCCGTGGCCCCGTCCAGCCCGCAGCCCTGTCCGCCGAGCGGGAGCGCCGCGCCGTCGGCGTCTCCGGGCGCCCTGAGCTGCGCGCCGAGGACTGGGAGCACAGCCGCACACTTGGGGGCGAGCTCGGCTTGGACAGCCTGGATCCCCGCGGGAGACCAGACCAGCGTCTTGTCGTCGTTCAGCTCCATCCCCAAGGGCGCGAGCAGCTCGCGCAGGCCCGCCAGCGCCAGGACTCCGAGGTCCGCCCGCACCGCCAGGTAGCTGTCGTCCAGGTAGGAATACAGGCGGGCGCCCGGGTCCAGTTGCTGCAGCCGGTGGAGAAGGTGCTCCAGGGCGCGCCGCTTAACGGCGAAGCCCGCAGGGGACAGGGGGTCACCCTGGTCGAACCCGCGCTGGCTCTGGACCGTTTCGAAGCGCCCGTCGGCCGTGCGCCGGTAGTGCCCCGCTGGGCCCGAGTACCAAACCCTCAAGGCCGCCGCCACCTCAGGGACAGCTTCGCCCATGGCCTCGAGAGCCGGCCCTGGCCGCATCCGTTGGAAAGCGGCCTTTACATCCACCTTGATGAATGTAGCGTCCGGCCGGGCTTCCGCCAGGGCCTGCAGGCTCTTTACCGATACGTTGGAGCCGCCTTTGCGCCCCACGCCGTACTGGTGTTTCCCGGCCGCGTCGGCCAGCTGAGTCTTCCGTGCTCTCGCCAGCGCGCGCAGCCCCAAGCGGCGGAGAGTGGCACCCACCAGCAGAGGCCTCACGTCCCCGGCGCCCTTCGCGAGCGCCACGAGCTCCCCCGCGCGCAGGGCCTCGAGCACCTCCCGCGGCAGCTCCCCGAAGGCGACCCTCGCGGCAGCCCGGGCGAGCAGGCGCGAAGTCTCGCCGTCGGCGGCGCTCGCCCCCAGGTGCTCGAGCCGCGTCCCCAGCAGGCCCGGCGCCGCCAGGCGGGGAGGGCGCCGCAGTAGCTTGCGCACCTCCTCCTCCACCTCCTCCCTGAGCTCGGCGCTGGGCGGCGCGCGGGGTACTGGTGGCGGCACCCCGTTGGCGCCGCCAAGTGGTTCCCCCGGGAAGCTCGCCCGCAGTTTCCGCAGCGTCTCGGCGGTGCGCGGCGCCAGCTCGGCCTGCACTGCTGCTGCCAGCGCGCGGGCTTCCTCCCCAGCCGCAGCTAGAGTGTGCACCCGGCGCGCTCTCTGCTTGTCGGTCGTCTTCCGCGCCGGCGCTCGCGGGGGTGGGCCGCTTGTGGCCGACGCCCACAGCGGAGCCCACTGCCCGCCCCACCACATAGCCAACCGTTCCTCCAGCAGCTCCGCGCACGCGGGGCCCTCCCCCCGGGGCCGAGCAAATAACACCAAGTCGAACAACAACAGCATTTTCCACTCTGCTGCGGCCTCTCCGCGCCGGCTCGCCTCTTCCAGGACATCCAGCGCCTTGCGTCTCGCATGCGTCACTGCCCCGCGAAACCTGTCTGGCACTTGTACGAACGTGGGGGCCCCGGAGCGCAAGGCAGACCGCCAGTCCAGGCGCTGCCACCAAGCCCGATCAGGGAGGGCCGTGTCGTCCCACGCAGGATGCATCACTGGAACTTGCCCCTGCTCCTGCTGGGGCCCCTCGGCCTCGCGGCCGCCGTCGGCGTTGTTCCGGCTAGCGGCCGCCGAAGCCAACGCCGTTCGCTCCTCCTGGACGTGGACATCCTGGGCACGAGGAGCCACAGCGCGAATGTCGTCGTCGGGAGCCGCTTTCACGGAGACGCAGCCCAAGCACAGCCAGCTGTAACGATGACGGCTACCCCAAGTGCACATGCGCGCCTCCGCAGTCTCAAAGGGTATTGCGCACCCCTTGCACGCAGCTGGTCGCTTGGAAGCGGGCTGAAGGTCCAGTGCCCACTCCCCGCGGCGGCGCCGCCGTCCTCCTCCATCACCCTCCTCTCCATCTTCCCCCTCCTCAATCAGGTAGCGTAACCGAAGTAGACGGAGCCCACGATGAGCACCACCTCGCGTCCGCGCAGCTCCTGTAACCAAAGTGGGTGGAGTCCAAGACGAATGCAACTCTCAAGCAAATGGCCAATCATATGAAAAGAACACAGTATACATATATGCAATGCAAATCCCAATCAAAAGTGTCAGCCTTCTATCCCACTCAGGGCGGTCCTGTCCAGCGCAGATCGGAACAGCAGCGGCCTCGGATGCACAGAGCGGCAGCGATCGCGAGGCCAAGATGAGTACGAAAAAGGGGCGCACGGACGGGCCGGCCAGCCGCTCGCCGGCCGCTCGCTCGAGCCTCCTCCTCCTCCTCCTCCTCCTCCTCCTCCTCCTCCTCCTTTTCCTCCTCCTCCTCCTCCTCCTCCTCCTCCTCCTCCTCCTCCTCCTCCTCCTCCACCTCCTCCTCCTCCTCCTCCTCCTCCTTTCCTCCTCCTCCGCCTCCTCCTCCTTTTCCTCCTCCTCCTCCTCCTCCTCCTCCGCCCTCCTCCTCCTCCGCCTCCTCCTCCTCCTCCTCCTCCTCCTCCTCCTCCTCCTCCTCCTACTCCTACTCCTCCCCCCTCCTCCCCCTCCCCCCTCCTCCTCCTCCTCCTCTCCCCCTCATCCTTCCCCCTCCTCCTCCTTCTCCTCCTCCTCCTCCTCCTCCTCCTCCTCCTCCTCCTCCTCCTCCTCCTCCCCCTCCACCCCCTCCTCCTCTGAATCCTGGGCCTTGCTGACTTCGCCTCGGCGGTCTTCCTCGAGCGGGCGGGCGTCGCCCTCGGGCGGGCCCGCGCCGCCGCCGTCGCCGTAGAGGGCGGCGTGCGTCTCCTGCCACAGCGCGCGCTGCTGGCGGCGGAGGGAGCGGAACGACAGAGAGAACACGAGGGCGTTGAAGGCCAGAAACATCAAGACCTGCTAGACAAGCGCGTTCCACTACTCGCAGAGTAGAGGCTCGCAAGCGGCCTGGATACACTGCCTCGAGGCAAACAGGCTCCATTGCATCGAACAGCGCCTGTTTGGGGGACGTTTGGGAGTAGGCACTTTGCGAGTAGTGGAACGCGCTCGGTGACCTGCGCGGACTCCCCTGGATCTGTCCTCGGGGGCGTCCAGAAGGAGGGCGTCCAAAAGGGGAGGGGAAGGGGGGGGGGGGAGGGGGGGGAGGGGGGGGGCGAAAATCATGGCCAGCGGCATGTGCGCGCGGCCCAGGGAGGGGGCCGGGGAAGAATTGAATTAAGAAGAGGCGCCATGAAATCTGGGGAGAGCTCAGGGCCCCCGCCACACATCCCCCCCCCTAGTCATCATCCCCCTCCTGGCCGCCCCCGATGTCCGTGGGGGCCGAGGCTGCAGCGGCGGCGTCTCCCGGCCCGAGCAGCTCCGGAAGAAGAGCGCGGGGACTCCAGAGGCGTTCCTGACGTGAGCGGCCGTGGCTGCGCTCGCAGCCCACAGAGGCTTCACGCCTGGCATGCACAGAAAAAGAAAGAAGCACATAAAACATAACTTTTGGCGCGCCGCGCGGACTTCCTGGATCTGCCCCTGGCGCGCGGAGCGCGCCAGGGGCGGCGCCGGAGGCGCCGCATGGGGGGCCCAGCGCGGATCCGAGAAATCCGCGCGGACCTCCGAGTTAGGGCGGCGCCGGAGGCGCCGCATGGGGGGCCCAGCGCGGATCCAAGACATCCGCGCGGAGCGCCGAAACGATTATGCACATGGCGTTTTTCCTCCTCGGATGCAGAAGATCGCCGGTGCGCCCGGAACCCCGCAGTGGGCGCACGCCACGCGCTGCCGGCGCCCCGTGGGGTTGCAGTAGACGGCGTGCGCGTCACGCTCGTCGCAGGCCTCGCAGCCGCCATCCTGGAGAAGAGCGGTGTAAACAAGTGGCACGCGTGCCATGGCTCTTGCACGAAAAGGAAGGAGGGGAAGGAGGGGGACTGAGAAGGAGGAGGAGGAGGAGGAGGAGGAGGAGGAGGAGGAGGCAGGAGGAGGAGAAGGAGGGAGGAGGAGGCAGGAGGAGGAGGGGGGAGAGAGGAGACGAGAAACCGGAGAACATTCGGGGGGCGGGACGCCTGTCCCAGGGCGGCTGGGAAGCTCATACCTTGACGTGCCACCGTAGGGATATAAACTTTCCAGACGCCCTGGGACAGGCGCCCCCGATGGCGAACACAAATTTATGTGATGCCGTTCTTCGAGAAGAAAAAAACACACATGAACATAAACTGTTGGCGCTCCGCGCGGATTTCTTGGATCTGCGCTGGACACCCCTCTCTGGCGCGCGGAGCGCGCCAGAGGCGGCGCCGGAGGCGCCGCATGGGGGGGCCCAGCGCGGATCCAAGAAATCCGCGCGGAGCGCCAACAATTTATGCTCATGTGTGTTTTTGTTGTTCTTCGGTCTTCGCCCGTGAAGTCCTCCACGCACTGGTCGTACCCGAGGCTCGCCATGAGCGGCCCGAGGTCGTCCACCGTGGAGAGGTCGCAGACACAGCCGCGCTGCCCGCACGTGCACGGGCGGCCCCCGGGGCTGCTAGGCGGGTCCGCCAGCGCTTCTTGGGCGTCGGGGTCGGCCTCCTCACGAGGGGCCCATGGGACACAAATCCAATGATTCTTCCCTCTGTTTTCCCCCATCTTTTGGGCTCTCGTCTTCCTCCCCCCACTTCCAATGTTTTCCCATCCCTTCCTGGGAGTCGACAATGAAGTGTGTCTGTCTGTGTGCCCAGACCCCCGAAGTCATGATTTTTCATGACGTCGACCTCCAGGGGCCTCGACCCAATCCTGGGGACTGGGTTTTTTATCCTGAGTCGTTCTTTGACGGTCCCGCGGCCCGGTAGGGGCCCCCAGAGGCCGAAAATGGCGAAACACCTCGCGTCGTGTTTTTTTCAAGACTCGAGGGGGTCTGGTGTTTTGTCCCCTCTTAGGAGGAGGAGGAGGAGGAGGAGGAGGAGGAGGAGGAGGAGGAGGAGGCGGAGGAGGAGGAGGAGGGAGGAGGAGGAGGAGGAGGAGGAGGAGAGAGGAGGGGGGAGGAGGGAGGAGGAGGAGGAGGAGGAGGAGGAGGAGAGGAGGAGGAGGAGGAGGAGGAGGAGGGGTGAGTAGGTGGTGGAGGATCTGACTCCTGGCCATCCGAGGCTTCGTCCTCCCCCGGCGCAGCGGCGGATTCCGGGCCCCCCGCGGCGGCCGGGCACCAGGCCAGCGCCGCCGCCGCCAGGAGGTACAGGCCGCCCGCCCAGCCCGCCGGCGCGGGCGCGGCGCGGCGCGGCCGCAGCCGCTCCGCCGCCATGCCCGCGCGCTGGGGTGCGCCTGCTGCGGAGCCAAAAGGCATCCAAAGCCAACGCATGGAAGAACTCAGGACGGAGGCGAGTCGCAGCTTTCGGCCACGAGGGGCCCTCGCCGGGCCACGGGGCCGCGGCAGAAGACGGCTCGGGATGAGAGAAACCGGTCCCGGGGAATGGGGGGTCGAGACTTCTGGGGACCCCGCATTGAAAAAATCACGACAGCGGATCTCTGGGTTCCTCGCTCGCTCGCTTCTCGTCGGTGCCGCGCTATACGGGGCAAGCGCGGGCCCCGCATGTTCTGCCGGAGGGGAGGCGCATCCGGAAGCACTTGGAGATAGGCATATTGGCAAAGGCGAGGGCCTTCGCGAGGACCTCGCCTGAAGGAAGACCCCAAGCAGATCAGGTTGGAACCTGTAGTAGTAGGGGGGGGTTGACGGCCCCGTCGGCGCAATAGTACCAGAAGCGAGCACCGCAGTACCTGTGACCCAAATCTGTGGTTGAAGGCAAATGCACTGTGAACTGTCTCTGGAGAGTTACCCTTCTCATGGCGTAAAAGGGGCCTTGCATACCCTCGGAATGCTGCCATGTCACCCCTCCTTGAAGCGAGGCCACAGGAAACTGTGTGGGCTCCTAGGGCCCTCAGAATGGCCAAAATATTTGTCTCGCCATAGAAGAGGCCTCGAAGGCTCGAAGGCAAAGGAAGTCATCCAAGCTGCATCCTTGGAATCCGGCGTTCGCCCTCAAGAGGCTTCCCGCCCCAGGGAGGAGGGCACCCTCTTCGAAACAGAAACAAGCCTGGCAGGCGTATGAAGTGCTATTGCGCCAATGAAGGCCCGGGTTTGCAGCACTACGCAACATCCTCATCGGTATTTGCACTTAGAGGTTTTACTGTATTCAAAGGAACTGGGCTTGTGTGTCGGTCCGCCGCTTTACTGCCGCCGTCGCCGTCCCGTCGCCGCCTCGTCGCCGCACGTCGTCTGGGCTCGTGTGTCGGATCCGCCTTCTTGTTGCCGCCGACGCCGCCTCGTCGCCACCTCTCGTGTGAACTCGTTTGTCGGGTCCGCCGCCTTGCTGCCGCCGTCGCCGCCCCGTCGCCGCCTCGTCGCCGCTTTGGCAAAGGCCCCATGGCCCCCCCCTTTGCAATCCAATCGATTGCAGTCCAATCGAATGCAGCTCAATAGATTGCAGCGCCACCACTTGCAACCCAATCGGTCGACTGCAATCACACAGGTGGCACCACCTAGATTCTTTTTTTCAACAAGAATATACTTTGAATGTAAGTTCCTGTCAAACCATACTGTGCGCGCGCACTCGTCTATCGAACAACATGTCGATTATGTTTTCGCACAAAACGAATCAACGTCCACACGAGCGCATCGTCGCGCGCATGTCGGAATCCGTCCAACGCCGTTGGGTTCGCACGGCTTTCGCGATCGAGGTCCCCGAGAACTTATGGAACAAACCAGTGGCTGCTCAACTGGAAGTTTACCACAAGCTGCGCATGCACATCTCTCAATTCTTACGAGGACCGCACATACTTCAACACTGCGTCAAATCAGACCACGCGTGATGGGCATGTTTTCCACCACCACCACCATAAGTTGGAGGGGGAGGGGGTCCTCCTCCTCCTCCTCCTCCTCCTCCTCTTCCTCCTCGTCCTCCTCCTCCTCCTCCTCCTCCTCCTCCTCCTCCTCCTCCACCTCCTCCTCCTCCCTCCTCCTCCTCCTCCTCCTCCCTCCTCCTCCTACCCTTCCAACTTATGGTGGTGGTGGTGGAAAACAGGCCCATCAACGCGGGCCCCTCGCGCGCGAACCAATTCGCAATAACTTGTGCGCTTGCTGGGGGGGTGGGGCACGACCGCCGAGAAATAACGCCATGCGGGCCACTCGCGCGCGCCGGCCGCGCGCGCACGTCGAAACTGGTCAAAAATATGCATCAGCGACACTAGGGCGCCGTCATCGTCATCGGCATGACCGCCATCGGTGCCGTTCTTTCCTTGCCACCGTCATCGTCATCATCGTGGCCACCATCGTTATCATCATTGTTTCCGCCGTTTTCGACGAAACCATGATACCGCGCACGCCCGAATCACTGACCTGAACTGAAATTCCCGCGCGCCAGCGCGGCTGCCGAGACGCGCTGGGAAATCCCCCGCAGGTCAGGACAGCCGCGGCCGTGTAGATGGCCGCTCTGCACGCGAGCTTGTGCGCGCTAGTTCGGCCGCAGAAATGCGCCAGCCCAGCGCCAAGCAGTCATCGCAATCGCCGCCGCATGGGTTTTGCAAACCAAGTTGCGGTGGGTGGGGGGTATAATTGCGATAGCAATGGGATTGACAACTCCAAACACGTCAAAATGAGTTATCCTCTTCTTACAAAATGTTATGGTCTACCCCCCTTCCCCCCCCCCCGAACTTAACGGCCCACCTTCGCGCATGGCAATTTACGTATGACCCTGCCCCATCGCCCACCCGAAATATGAATCATACCTCGCAGGCGTGCCTGTATCGCCCCCCTAATCCTCTGCAAACGAATACTCTTGGCGCACACCCGTTTACCAACAATGATCCATGTCCAAGAAGCCCCTGCAAACACATTAGACGAAGTGCGCGCGCGTCGTCGCGCGCGCAAGCCGAAATCCTTCAAAAACCTTCGGTTTCAGAAATCTGTCAACATCGGTACCACTCACTCAGTCACTCACTCACTCACACCGAATGTCCGAAGCACCTAACGAGAACCCGGGAAGAAACGGATGGGGCCTGGACGGTGCCCGCCCGAAAGCGGTACTATAAAGGCGCCGTTCGCATGGTGCGAGCGGCCCAGCGTGGAAACGGGGAGCCCGCGTCCAACTGCACCTCGAGGCGCTACCCTTTCCGCACCCTCGCCCGCGACTCCGACCTCTCCCCCGCGCTGTCAGCAGGGAGGGTCGATCGCTTCGAGACGGAGGAGGAGGAGCAGCAGACGGCATTGAGGCAGCAGCAGAGCTCGGGGGCGGAGGGAATAGGAGGTAGGAGGAGGGTAGCTTCTTTTTCTCTCGAGCCGACCTCGAGAAGGAGCGCAGGGTTCCTCGCGCCTGTCGCGAGCATGCCCAAGAAAAAAGGGCACGGCGGGGCACAGACTGGCGTTAGCCTCATCGTTCGGCCTCGCCCTCTCTGCGGTGCTGCTCATGCTCATGCTCAGTGTCATCGTTGCTGGGGCGCGTGCTGGCGTGGGAGTGGGCGTGGGCGAGGGTGTAGGCACAGGCGTAGGCGATGGCGTGGATGGAGGTTGAGTGCAGATCCCCGTCTCGGCGCCCGTCGTTTTGAAGCGCCCGATGGACTCGCTAGTGATGGTGGCGTCGTCCGCAGTCGCAGTAGCCCCGTCTAGGTCTCGCCCCTCAGCGCCTCCACCCAGAAGGCCAGCTCGCCCTCCACGGACCCCGCTGGCGCTGGACCCGCGCACGTCGCCTTGTCGGCGTTGTGCAACGCTGTCATGATGTGCTGCCTGCTCTCGTAGTCCCTGCAATGGATCTTCGCCTGGCCGCTCTTGTAAGCCTTCTCGAGCTTGCAGATCGGTGCGTCCTGCGCCTGGTACTGGTCTGTGGCGCTGGCACGCTCGATCGTGGTGTTGGAGTCGCCGTCCTTGCTCTACGAGCCGCTGTCCTGCTGAGTCGGCGTCTCCATCATAGTCCTCGCGGCGCCCGGTGCTGGCGGGTCTCTTCCGTGCGATTCTCCTTCGCGGCGAAAGACCTGAGCGTAGTTGCGTTTCTCCTGCACGATCACCTTCGCGGTTTTGGTTATGCAAACCTTGTGCTCCCTGGTCTTCTTCGCGCCCTTCCCGGGGTCGACCTTCTGGTCGTCGAGCTCCGCGCCCTGGTCCTCGGCCTTCTTGCGAGGGTCCAGTCCGCGCCGTTGGCTCCGCGATCGGTCGCCTGGCTTGGACCGGGCCCCGCTGGAGGCACCGCCGCCAGACGTGAGGGGGGATCCCGCGGGGCACGCCAGCTGGGCCTCTGCGGCGCGGCCGCATTCGCTGTCAGCAAGGGCCCCGAGTCCGTGGACATCGCGAGCTGGAGTGGCTGCAGGGCGCTGGGGTAGTGCCCAAGGCGTCCTGGGGCAAATCACTATGGAGGTGGCCTCGGAGCTCGATGTACTCTGCATCGGACTCCTGGCAGATCGGGCAGGCGAGGCTCTTCGGGGCTACGAGGGGGTACGGGGCCCAGGTCTGGTCTATCTTGCACGCGCGTGATTCCCATGCTGCTGCGATATGGTGTTGCGCGCCCACTCGCGTCGGGAAGGTCGTACTACATATGATGCGCTCGTTCGTGAGCGTGAGCTGAGATAGCAAGCAACACATTCCACGTTCGCCTCCTAGTGCCATTCTTCGTTGACGTGCGTGGAGTGCTCGTGCGGTCTTCCAGGTACTCATGCACGGGGTCCCTGCGGATGTTTTCAGCTCGGCCTCATCGGATGGGGCGAGCTCCGATGGCAGCTCGGCGGAGGCAGCAGGCGGCGCGACAGCGCGCCGAATATAGGTAGCCCTCATGATGCTCACGTCGGTCCTGCAGAAGGCTTCGGCGATCTCGGGGCCCGTGAACAGCGTGATAATGTTGCCCTTCCAGTCCAGCAAGTCCGAGGGTTCGGCAGTGTCGTAGGTGAGGAGGTCCTGGATGTCGGTGGCCATCTGTCTGGCGATCGGATGCGCGTCGGGGCTGATGTAGCCGTCGTCGGTCAGGGTGAGTGGCATGGCGGGGAGGTCGCTGCCTCGCAGAAGGCGCTCGATGCGGAGCTCGCCGAACAGAGCGGAGACAAGATGTTGGGATTCTTCGGGATGTGCAGCAGCGCCTTGAAGTAGCTTCAGCCGTCAGATCCTTAGTTCGATGGAGCCCGGCACGATGTCCCATCGGCGCCATGCCTCGGCCGCAGACATCGCCTTGTAGTGCGTGTCGCGGCTGTGTTGGCAGCCCTTGCCCTGTAGCATGGCCCGCAGCCTCTTGCCCAAACAGATGTCGATCTTCTTGTAGTCCGTGGCGTAGAGGAAGTAGGTCTCGGCGGCACTAATGGCGGCTTCATAGACGACGGCTTGAAATACGAGTCGCTCAAGTCGGGGCGGGGCTCGGATGAACCAAAATTGGTGGCACTGGCTCCATCCTGCATTTGCTGCTCGTAGTCGTGCTTCACGGTCTCCGTGGAGGCATGCTTCGGCGTCGAACATGCCCCCCCCCCCACGTGCTTCATCGAGGTCAGTCTCTTGCAGTTTACGCGGGGGTCGGTGAAGAAGGCGGGGCGAAGGGACTTCGTTGGATGCTGTGTACGATCTCCTCCTTGGTCTCGTTCAGGCTGAAGCCTCTGGCGAAGTGACTGGCGTAGCGCCTCAAGGTCGCGCTCGATGATGGCGGTCAGGGCATGGATCTCGTCGATGCTGGCGTCGCGTAGTTGCCCACTGGAGTCGATGGCTGGTTTGCGCGGTCCGACGCGAGGGGCGATGTGGAACTTCAGGATGTCATCCACGAAGACCTGGCGGCTGAGGTCCTGCACTGGCCCGTCGGGGTCCCAGGTGGGAGCGCGCGGCTGGAGCATGATGCTGGTGTGTGTGTGCGTGTGTGTCGATGCAGTGTCGGTGCGCCATTGCTTGAGCTGGTGACTGTAGGCCTTCATGACTGCGTCGGGCTCGTTCGAACATCCCATGGAGCCTCCCTCGCGGTTGCGCATGGTGAGCGTGCCGTCGCTGGCCTCGACGACGGTCTGGGACTCCGTGCGTCGTTGCAATGCAAGTTGGCGGTCGCCGTCGCGAAAGGTCGGGATGACGTGCCCGTTGATGGCGTCGTGGTGGGTGCACCCGAAGGCGTTGCGGCCGTCGTGGGAGCGCACTGCGAAGGCGATCTTCGCCCGTCGGAGCTTGCCAGCGACCGCCCGGGTGGCTATCATGCCGAACTCACGTCGTCTTTGCGGGATGCCTCCGTAGGCGTAGTCGGGCGGTCGCGTCGGGAATCCTCGCTCGCGTAGATGTCGGTAGAAGCAGCGCCAGAAGACGTCGAAGCAGTGGATGAGGCGTAGACCCGCGGGCCCTGGGATCACCTTGCCCTTGTCCAGCTGGACCTCTGCGAGGTGTTAGCCTGCGTGGGGGCGCGGTTGCGCTGTCGCGCGTGCGCAAGGGAGGCGAGAAGTCGTGATTTACCAAGTCGGTATTCTCGCGGGAGTTGGACCTTCCTCTTAAAGGGGTCTTCGGAGCCGTCGGGGGCATTCAGTGCGCCGAGGCATCCCTGCGGTCGTCCAAGGCGTCGTAGCAGTTCAGGTCGCAGTGCCATCAGCAGGATCTCGGCAGGGGCCGAGCATGCGGAGACGCACTTCCTGCGATTGGCCTTGCCCAGCAGCTTGGCGACGGCAGCAAGCTCGCCGACAATTTCGGTGACGTAGTTAAGCTGGAGTGGGGAAGTGCGTGGCGGAGTAGGTGTACTGGGGTTGGTTGCTGGTGTCGTTGTGGTCGGCGCCGCTGGGAGGTGAGCGGTCGGGGGCGCGTCGTCGTCGGCGTAGTTCTCGTGCTCGTGTTCCTGCTCCAGCATAGTGTCGAAGTCGAGCTCAGCGTAGTTCTGGAGTGGAGCGTATGTGGTGCTTGTTATGGCTGTCGTGATACTGGTCGTGGGCGTGGGCGTCGGGGCGGCCCTGGATGTCGGTGTCTGCGTGGGTGGAGGCAGTGGTGCAAGTTGCGGTGGTACCAGGTCTAAACGCGTCGGGAGAGCGACGGGGGCAAGAACTGCGAATAGACCTCATTCGGCGCCTGGCCATTGTAGAAATTGTTGTCATTGGTCCATGCTTGGTCGCGAACCCGGGAGGATGCCGCAGAAGCGCTTGCGGGCCCGCAACCGGTAGCGCAACGTGGTCTTGGTGGCGCGTGGCATTCGGCGAGACGTCGAGCGCGCCATGCTCGCCAAAGATCGTCGCGCTGCATTTCCTGGTACTTGTGGTAGGTGTCCTTCAGGTGGCGTCGGAGTTTCTTACTCAAGTCGTGGATGGTTTCGTCGAGCTGGCGCAGGTGGTCCTCGTTGGCGTCGGGGTGGTCGTCGTGGGCGCGCCGACGTTGCCGAAGCTGGGCGCGTTCTTTGAGGAAGGGGAGTTTGTGCTCTCGAGCTTCGCGGCACCAGTCGGGCCGGCCATGGGCGATGGCGCAGTGCCCCAAGGCGGCGTCGCGGAAGCACTGCATCGCGAGGCCCGAGTGGTAAGTGCCGCCCTCGTGCGTGAGGTACTCGCCCAGCAGGTCGGCGCGGGCGCTGGGGTTGCACTCCAAGCTCTCCGGGGATTCTATCCGCTTGTGGCCCCCCTTGAGTCCCAGTGCGATGGCGTCACGGCCAATGGTCTGGAAGGCCCTGGACGTGGTGCGGCAGGCGGGCGGGGCCTCGAGCATGGTGATCAACGGCTTCTGGTCCTTGAACTTCCTCGAGATCTGGAGCGCGCGGGCAGCGTGGCTCCAAACTCGGCACTGCATGATGCGGGAGACCAAGCCCGTGGGGAAGTAGATGCAGTCCGTGACCGAGGGGTGGCGTCCATCGCAGGTGGGGCCCGTGTCGTAGTAAGTGTTCGCAACCGCCATGCACGCGTTGGCTAGTGTGTGGTGGTAGAGTTTGCCCGCTTCGCCCTGCTTGCCCGTCGGGGGCTGGCCAACTGTCTCGTCGCCGTCGGGGCCTGCGGCGAAGCGGTCGTTGAGGTCCATCATGACTATCGGGGTGAAGCGAGGTGGCGCGTCCAAGATCTCCTGCTTGACCCATTGGGACACCTTCGTCATGGTGGCTCGCCGCTGGGGGGGCGTCTCGCGGCCCCGTGGCGCTGGAGGTGAGTTGGCCGTAATAATCTTCAGCTTCGCGACGCCCTGCTCGGTGGCGACGGCGCCCCCTTCTGCCGTGGAGCTCTTGTGGCGGCGCGGTGATATCCTTGATGTGCTTCTCTTTGAACCTGTGGTTGAATGGGATGCTGCGTCCCGCGGCTTTGCTGATGCCCGCGCTGCGTTCGTCCGCGGCCGAAGTGGACGGCTGCGCGGCACTCGTGCCTCTGCGCGCGGCGCGGGCTGCGCGGGTGCTTCGGGATCTTCGCGCCGGGGCAACCCGCGATCTGGATCTGGCGCAGCTGCGAAGAGACCTCCTCGCCACGGGCGTCTGTCAGGCTGAAGGGGTTGAACGCTGTGAGCGACGTGGAATCGGCTCGAACGGCGTTCATTGCGCGCCCGTGGGAGCACATGCGAGCGGCGCCCCCTGTGCTCGGGCAGGCATCTCTAACCTGCGTGGCGCCTCCACCAGCCCCGCGGACCCCGCAAATATATAAACGCACATGGCTTCGCAACGCGGATTCTCAATCGCGCCAAAATGCTGCTCTTGCGCTCTTGCGTGTCCTTAAGAAAAGCATCGGTGTCTCAACGTTTTCACCCAATTATGCCACCACGTGTGCATCTCGCGCGCGAACGTTGAACATGCTCGAACGCCTTTGCTTTGCGCGCGTGCTGTCGCGAGAACCCCACGCAAGAGGCGAAGCGAAGTGCGCGCGCGCTGTCGTGCGCGCGCGGACGCCCTTCAAAAAACTCAAGTGTTCGCAAGGATTCCAAAATTGAGTGCCCCGACAAAAAAAAAACTGAAACAAAAACTTGGTTTCGCAACGTCATGCTTCAAAAATGCCTGCGCCCGCGTTCCTGTGAATTCTTTCGAAAATGAAAAGTATTCAACATGTTCCTCAAATGTGGCCAAGCGGGCCTCCCGCGCCGCATGTCGAGATCATTCGCACGCCCGTGCGCTCGTGTTGGGCGGGGGCACGGTCGGTGCTAAATGATGCCACATGGGCCAATCGCGCGTCGGCCGCGCGCGCGTCGCCGACGCGAGGACGCCGCCGTCGTCTTCGGCGCGATCAGCATCGGCGCCATCACTGGCCTTGCCGCGGTCGCTGTCACTATCGCCGCCGGCATCGCCACTGCCATCATGTAGTCCACCGTCGCCTACGTTGCCATGGTACCACGCCCGCCCAAGTCGCCGACTCGCACTGAAGTGCCCGCTGGGATGTGCCCGCCGATCAGCGCCACTGCAGCCGCGTCGCGCCAAACTAGCTGGCCGGTTCGCGCGCGAGCATGCGCGGGCTAGCGCGGCCGCAGACGCGCACCAGCCAACGCCACGCATTCATCGCAATCGCCGCCGCCTGGTTTTTGCAAACCAAGTTGCGGGTGGGTGGGTGGGGCGATTGCAAGAGCAATGGAGCTCGCAACTTCAAGTTCGGCAGGGGGAACTCTCGTTTCGGAAAAAATAGGAACAGTTTCCAATAATCCCTTGCACAAGCAAATTAGACTGAGTGCACGCGCGCGCGTCGTCGCGCGCGCAAGCCGAAATCCTTCAAGAAACCCTGGGTTTCAGAAAGATGTCAAAATCGAATGTCGAAAAAATACAAACAATGTTTTAAAACAAATAAATGAGAAACGTGGCCCGGCAGCGCGGACGTTCAAAAAAGCTTGCGCGCTTTTGCGAATTGTTAAAAACATGAGTTCATATACATGTTCACAACATGCTACTGAATGAGCTTCGCGCGCAAGCGAGCGAACTTCGCGCGCGCCCTTGCGCGCGCGCTGCCGCGATAGCCCTCTGCCCGGAGAAAGAAAAAACAAAAAACAACAAAAAAAAGAAACGCGCGCGCCGTCGCGCGCGAAGGCCGGAATGAATACAACAAATGGGCTTCGCAAGTTATTCGAAAACCGGCTGCCCCAAAGCCGTTATATATAACATAGCTTCGTAACAACAGCTTTCAAACAAAAAAACCTGCGATTGCGCTATTGCGAATCTTTGCGGAAGCCATCGGTTTCTCAGAATGTTCACCGGATTCTGCCAAACGGTGTCCAATACTATCATGCGGGCCACTCTCGCGCATCGGCCGCGCGCACGTCGAACTCCTTCCAGAACCTTCATCGCCGACGCGAGGACGCCGTCATCGTCGTCGGCGTGATCAGCATAAGCGCCGTCACTGACCGGGCCGTCGTCGCTGTCAACATCGTCACCAGCATCGCTACTAGCATCATCGTGTCTACCGTTGTCGACGTTGCCATGGTACCACGCCCGCCCAAGTCGCCGACTCGCACTGAAGTGCCCGCTGGGATGTGCCCAGCGGTCAGCGCCACCGCGGCCGCGTCGGTCGCGCCAAACTAGCTGGCCGCTGCGCGCGAGAGCATGCGCGGGCTAGCGCGGCGGCAGACATGCACCAGCCAACGACATGCACTCATCGCAATCGCCGCCGCATGGGTTTTGCAAACTAAGTTGCGGGTGTATGGGTGGGACGCCTGCAAATTCATGGAAGGTGACTCAATTGTCAAAACCAACCGCGCCATATATCTATATATGTGTATGTATATGTATATGTATATGTATCTGCATCTGTATATGTATCTGTATCTGTATATGTATATGTATCTGTATCTGTATCTGTATATGTAGATGTATATGTATATGCATATGTATATGTGTATGTATATGTATATGTATATGTGTATGTATATGTATGTACGTATGTATGTTTATATATATTTATATGTGTATATATACCTATATATAAACATATGTTGATTGCTCCACCCAAATTGCACCACAGATATTGCACTACGTGGGCTGTGTGGGTAGAAACTAAGCTGTTTGGTGTCCGTGCTGGCTGACATCTTCTCTTAGAGAGAATTCTTGCCCAAAGGATGATCGGCGGCGGGCCAGAGGGGGAAGTGAGCAGGAAAAGGCCTTCTCAGAAGGCGGCGGGGCTTCTCGAAAGCCCTCGCGCCTTCTGAGATGTTCTTTTGAACTTCGGGGCAGGCTCAGAAAACTTGTCAGAAGGCCGGGGGACTTCCGAGCCTGCCGAGAAGGCCCGCCCCTTCTCATTTCCCCCTTGGGCTGGCCGCCGAGATCAGGACTACCACACATTCTGTGCATGTAACGGCCTGGTGGCCATGCCCGTGAGGTCTCCAGGCCCCCGGGGGTCGCTCCGGGCGCTCGGCCCGAACGACTCGACCAGGTGGTCACTTGAGGGGGGGCGGGCGCCTGGCTCGCTCGGGGCTTTCGAGGCCCCCTCGGCCCTGCCGTGCTTCTGTTTGCTGAACTTGTCCTTGCGCTGTTGCGTGCCTGCATGTGCTACTGTCAGAAGTACTGTTTGCGTTGATTTGCATTGCCGGCCTTTGCGTTGAGTTGACGTTCTGTGTTCCGACGAATATGGATTTGCTCAGCAATGCCACGCTGTGCACAACTGTATCGTGCCACGCACTGTGCACATACACATGTATACATAATGTGTCACGCAACGCAGATATACTATCCCATCCAATGTGATGGAATTGTTTCCGAAGCCCTGCTAAGCAAAACTACGCTACATTGTTCCAGCCATTGCTAAGTGATAGAACGCTATGCTACGTCATGATACGCTGTGCCACACATGCTCGACCATGCATCACAACGATATCAAATGTATTGCTGCGTAGTGATGTGTTATGCAATGGCACGGTATGTCGTGGCATGCTCTGCTATAGTATGTTATGATCGAGTGTGACGGGCAGTGCGATGATATCATATGCCATGCCATAAACTTACCAGCGCAGTGTACACCACTGTGTACAACGCTGTGCAACACTGCTTTGCGCCAGGGTCTGCAATTTGAAGCGATGCTGATACGACACAGTATGCTAGGCAATGCGTGTACATGCCATGGATTGCTATGGCATACTATGCAGCACAATTATGTGATGAGCTATGCAACGTTACGCAATGTATTGATACGCCATCCTATGATATCTAATAATTTGACACCCCATGCTGCAATACGTAATGCTGCACTGTGCTACGCGATCTAATGCTACGCAAGGCTGCTGGACAATGATATGATAGACAGTGCTGCACTAGGCAATGCCATAGCGCCCACGTCGCTGCATTGTCTTGCGTATCGTCGTGTTGTACTGCTGATGTACTCCTCCGGCCGCCTGAAATACTCATCAATAGTGCCACGCCTGGCTCATTCAATAGTGGACGTGCCATGCGTCTGCGCCAAACATGCGAGCGCTTTTCTTCGGCGTTTCGACTTTGGGCGGCACGGGGGGGGGAGGGGGGGGTCTGGCTCCAGACCTCTGCTTAGTGAGACTGTTTGCAAAAGTGCGGCCTCTGGGGGAGACTCCACCCGCTCGAAACAGGCGCCAAAGAACAGCCAAGATCTGCGGGGGGGGAGGGGGACCTTTGGGGCCCGCGCCGATCGGCAAAACAATGAATTGAAAAAAGATCACCATGATCATTTTCTGCTTGGTGCGATTGAAACTGAAACTGCAGGCTGCTTGGCAGAGAGAGAACACAGGCAAGTGCACAGATCGGACCGCACGACGGGTGTGGCGCCTCCTCGCCCATCCATCGCCCCCCCCCCCCCCTGCACGGTTTCCCCTGCGGCCGTAGGCGACCCGAGGAGGAGGAGGAGGAGGAGGAGGAGAGAGGAGGAGGAGATGGAGGAGGAGATGGAGGAGGAGATGGAGGAGGAGAGGAGGAGGAGGAGGAGGAGGAGGAGGAGGAGGAGGAGGAGGAGGAGATGGAGGAGGAGGAGGAGGAGGAGATGGAGGAGGAGATGGAGGAGGAGATGGAGGAGAAGGAGGAGGAGGAAGAGGAGGAGGAGGAGGAGGAGGAGGAGGAGATGGAAGAGGAGGAGGCGGCGGAGGACGGGTCGCCTAAGCCCTTCGGAGAAACCCTCCGCCCGCCCCCCTCCTGGCAGATCATGGGGCGACCAAAAGGCACAGATACTGGTCTTCCCCGGACCTCTCCCAGGGTGCGTTCTGGCCAGACTCTCGAGGCGGATCCGGCGGCGGCGACGGGGCCTTCCAGGAGGCCCAGGGAGGGGAGAACGAGTGAAGTTGAGGGATGAAAAAACGACCCTACCCTGGGTTACAAGTGCGTGGTCTGTAAACCTCCTGGGAACCCCAAAAAAAGCCTGGAGCCGCCAGGACGCGGCACATCACGCAGGGATTACCCTGTCAACCCACAGGAGTTTCAGCGCACAACGCCTCGTAAACCAGGGTGGGGGCGTTTTTTATGCCCTTGATGAAGGGCAGCGGTATGGGTACCTGCTTCTCCCTCCTCTGAGATCGAGGGTGCCCTCTGGCCGCGTCCAGCGCAAAACGACACTCACTGCACGCCTGCCCCATCGCCCGTGGGCGTATGCCGGCGAGCAGGGCAGGCGGCGGCGGGGGGGGGGGGGGGCATGGCGCACGCAGCGGGCCGAGGCGTGCGGGCCCAGGGCAACACACAGGAGGTAGGGGAGGAGCGAGGAGCGAGGAGCGAGGAGGAGGAGCGAGGAGGAGGAGGAGGAGGAGGAGGAGGAGGAGGAGGAGGAGGAGGAGGAGGAGGAGGAGCGAGGAGCGAGGAGGAGGAGCGAGGAGCGAGGAGCGAGGAGCGAGGGCGACCGCGCTGCCCCTGGGGCCCTCTGCGCTGGCCCCGCGGCAAGGGTGGGCGCTCGTGGGAGGCACTCACTTCCTCCGGAGCATCTCCCGCTCCTCGTGCGTGAGCTCAAGGAACTCCACGAGATCTTCCTTGTTCTCCACGAGCTCGTTCACTTCCTCAGGAGCATCTCCCGCTCATCGTGCGTGAGGTCATCGCCGAGGAACTCCACGAGATCCTCCTTGTTCTCCACGAGCTCGTTCAGGTCCAGCGCGCCCATCTCCTTGCACCAGGCATTCACCTTGTCCAGGTGGCGCTCTAGCCCCCGACCTGACAGCCAGATATTCAGAGAGGGCACCTGCTCAACGATCTCGACCCTCTCCTTGACCTTCATGGTCTCCCACTCCTCGTCCTCCTGCTCATCCTCAGGGATTGGTTTGAAACCCAATGTCTTCATGTACTTCGGAACGAACTCCATCCCGCTTTCGGTCTGCCTCGACCGGCACCACAGCACCTCCGCGCCGAGCTCCGCCGCCTTCCCGGCCACCACTCGCAGCATGGTTTCCTCGGCTTCGGGGCCCTTGTCCATGCCGTCGTCTCCTATAACGATGTCCACGTATGCACGTTTAGAGCTCTCGTTGTACAACCACATGGCCATCGCAGAGCCACGCTGTGTGCCCAATATGCCATCCACCCTGAGCTCGCGCAACCGGGCTGCGTCGGAAGGCTCCGGCATGTTCGGCTTCCGCTTGCGGAACTTGACCAGCCTCTTCAACTGATCCGTGATGGCTTTCAAGGCGATGACGCAGCCATTCAGAAAAGCGATGTCTTCTAGCGAGTCGTTGATGCCGTACCCGAGATGTCGGCGACCCTCGTTGAGCATCTTCCACCTCGAGGATAAAAAGAACGCCTGCTGCAGATCATCGGTCATCGCCATATTCTCGTAACCCTTGAGGTGTTCCTTGGTGGCCTTCAGCTCGTCCGAAATGGCGACTCCGTGGAATAGCCACTTCTCCAGAGGCGGAACCGAAGCTTTTGGAACGAACTTTTTGAATGCCTCGTCCTCAGGTTGTGCATCGGCGTTATCTCCACTCTCTCCACGCAATTCTTTAACCAGACGCTGAATCTGTGCATCTGTGAGGTGTGTCACGTCTGATGGTAACTGCGCGTGGCTCACCCACGTACCATCAGGGTTTCTAGACTCGTAGCCCCAATCGGTGAAGCGATACGTGCCAGTCGTCCCGTCCTTGACCCACTGGTACGTGGCGCCCGACTTGATCAGGATCTCCTTTTGGCCGTCCGCGCCGATCCTCTCCCAGTCCTCCTTCACCCCGCCCTCCTGGTAGACGGCCATCTGCGTCCTTTCGGGTCGGGCGAAAGGGGGGGATAGCAAAGGGGGGGGGTGAGAATCAGCTCACGTAGCTGATTTTCCCGGTGCCTCCCGGCGCCGGAGGCGTCTACGTATCGAGGAATGTGCCCCTCGGTGGGGCCGAAACCAGCTGCATGCAGCAGATTTCGTAACCCCCCCTTTCCCAATCCCCCCCTTTCGTTCGGCCCGATCCTTGGCCTCTGCGACTGTTTCCTCGCGTGCCGCCGAGCAAACCGCCTCAGCAGCGCGGCGGGGGCGCGCGCCGCCAGAGCGGCGGGCACGCACGCCGCCGCTGCGCGGCGCCAGAACGGCGCCTCGGGTGCGCCCGCGGCCCGCCGCCGCCCCGCGGCCACCGCTGGGCCGCCGCGGCCTGGCAGGGCGGGGGCGGCCGGCCGGGCGAGCAGCGCGGGCGGTGCGGCGACGCCACCCGCAGCCCACTGGCCCACGGACATCGCACGCGGCCCAGGCCGCGCTGCTTCGGGCGCTGCCTGCGCAGGCCCTGGCCCAGGGTGCCCCCAGGACTTCCGAGGAGGCCCCCACGGCCTCCAGAGCGCCCCCGACCAGGCCCATGAGGGCCCCCAGGTGGGCGAGCAACGACATATGTACATGTACGCCCTCCGCGGTCTTGCCTGCACGAACGTCCTCGTTGACACGCACTCAAGGGGAAGCTAACCGCGTACGTGTACATATGTTGCTGGCCTCTGACCAGGGGCCTCAACGCGGCACGAAAAGCACGGACACCCTGGGCCAGGGACACCTTCGGCAGCGCCCGACTGGTATACCTGGTCAGCGCCACGGCCCTGGCACAGCACGCGACGGGGGGGGGGGGGGGGGCGGGGCCAGAGGAGCGCGACTGGGCCGATGTTGCGGGCGGGCTGCAAGGTTCGATCGTTGGCGCCGCCTCTGGGTGCCCGGCGCCTGGGGCTGTCAGCACAGCTTCAAGAGAAAGCTGGAGATCCTCAAACTCATGAGCGAACCTGGCTCTTGCTACGCGTGGGCCTAGCCCTCCTCCCTCCTCCTCCTCCTCCTCCTCCTCCTCCTCCTCCTCCTCCTCCTCCTCCTCCTCCTCCTCCTCCTCCTCCTCCTCCTGAGCATAACAAGCTTCGACCGCGAGGCCCGTATGGAAGTGTGGGGGGAGCATTTCCGCTGGTTCCAGGTTGAGCGCTACAGCTTGATCGCACGCTCCTCTGGCCTCTTGTACAGCTTGATCGCACGCTCCTCTGGCCTCTTGATCTCCACAGCATACTCATCTCGGACGCTGGGTAACCATTCGCATTCCAACTGCTGTCGGTGATGGTGAACAATATTATCATCCCCTAGGGGCCTCTTTTATCGCCAGGGACGAGCCCTGCATCAGTGGGCGTGTGTCGGGCCCCCCTTGCGTTTCAAGATGAAGTTCCTCGCGAAGCAATGCGTTGGCAACGATGAAACCACCGCGTAATGCTGATGTCCCCGTCCTCACGAGCTCGTGCTTGAAAGCTTGTTCGCTCTACAGATCAAACCTGCGCGGTCTTAATAAGGGGCCGTACTTCTTCCAACGCGATGCCATGCGAGTCGAGGCAGTGCAGCGCATCGAGTTTGAAACCAAGCGGAGCAACCGCGCTTCCCGAGGCGGCACGCAGCGCCCAGAGTCGGAGCCTTGGTACGCTACCAGGACTGCCAGAGACCAGCCCGAGGCGGCTCCACGATACATATTGTCCTGATCCAGGCGACGGCAGCGTCAACATGGCCGCCTGGTCGTGCATGGTTCCCCCAAAGGCCAACCAGAAGACTCCTGATCCCATGAGGTCGGGCCTGTCCCCCTGCGGTGGGATCTTGGAGGAAGCATCAAACATGAACAAAACAGATTCCAGGATGGCCAAGAAATGCTTGAAAAGTCGTCCCCAGACTATTTTGGACTATTTTTGGGCTATCCCCCCTGTAGGAGTGACAGGCCCGACTCAGTGATCCCACCGATGCACCAGGAGACCGGCCGTCTGCCCCGAGCAGTCTTCGGCCAGGCCCTGCAGGCCCCAGGCTGCTCACAAGAGGCCCCCTGACAGGCTCATGGGAGCCACGCGACGCGACATTGACCAACATTCGAGTAGGGGATCCAAGCTGCCATCGCGCAATGCACACAACAACAACAACAACAACAACAACAACAACAACAACAACAACAACAACAACAACAATCATTTAAGACTGGGGACACTCCGTTCTCACCAGTGCCAGGGTTTTCATAGGAGGCGGGCAATACCCCCACTTTGTGGGGGGGCCGGTTCAAGCTCTACCAAATTTCCAAACGACTCTTCGCCACCACCCACACCCAGCTTCCCGCCCTATGACGTTCGGACACTTCACTTCGTGGCATGCGGACGACCGTGGCTACTATTCAGGGCCCCGCGGCCGACGACGACGGCGTGCGCGCGCGAAGAAAAAACGAATGTGTCCAATATGGTATTATTTGACAGGGATGATGGCCCTGGCATGCGCGCAACCGTTGTTGCAGAAGTTCGAAGCACGTGAAAAAGTTGCTCGCAAGAGCCCGTTTGACAGAAATGTTGAAAAAATATTGGGTTTCCTCAGAAATCCGCAAGAGCGCGCAAGATGAATTTTTGAAACTTTTTTTTGAAAAACCATTGGGTTTTTCATGTTTTTATGTTAAAATCGCTACGAAAACTAAGGTTTTGGAAGGATTTCATCTTGCGCGCGCGAGTGTGCACTTCGTGTCATTTTTTTCAAAGGATTCTTGAAGTTTGGTTATGTTAGAACAAGAAATTTCATTTTATAGTGTTTTTTGCAAGGGAAAGCGGGCGTCAACAAAACAACCGGATCCGGACACCCACGTTTTGCCTGAGACTTCCTCACGAAAATGATGAAAATGTGGCTGCGGCCTAGGCGCGGCGAGGGGGGCGCGCACCAGGGGCCCCAACAATAATTATTCTTTAGAATAAATAATGTTCAACAACAACAACAACCATATGCAGTTGCGAATGCCGCAGTTGCAGGTAGACTCTAATGGCGCGTCCTTGCGTAGCCTGGGCGACATAGAGACCTTCAAAGCAACGCCAGGCGAACCGGGTGCAACCCACAAGCCGACCTGCGGTAGGCAAACTCATGAGGTTAACCGTGGCCTGAGAGAGAGCGAGCGTGTGAGAGGTGACGACCCCCCTCCTCCTGCGCCGGCCGCAAGCCAGAGGAAACACGTTCGCAAGGCAAACTGGGACGTTCGCAGAAGCCGACCTCGAGTAGGGGATCGACTACAGAATGCATGTACCCCAAAATTTACTTGCTCATCGAGTTCGCGACAAATGCATAGAATGCTTTGTACAGCATTCTACGCTTATGTTGTTCCCATCGGACGTAAGGGCCACATCCCATAAAGAATTTCAGCACCCGGAGAAGTATCGAAACAGTGTCTGCCCGACACGCTGCCGAAGTGTCGAACGAGCATCGCCTCCCAAGGCCCAGCACGTGAAAGCTCCACAGTTTCGGTACTCTGTTGGTTCTCGAAATTCTTTTTCGTGGTTGGGGCTAGAGAAGGCAGGAACATCACAATTCTACGCATTAGTTTTGTAGATTCGACGGAAAATCGGTTCTGGGGTAAATCAATTCTGTAAACGATCCTCTACTCGAAACATGTTTGTCCGATGCTCTCTTGCTTGCCCGCCCAGAACTCTCCACACGCGCTTCAACATGCCCGCAGTGGCACGGTGTGCCCCAAGACGACCCAAGACTGGGCTCAGATGGCCCCGAGACGACCCAAAACAAGCCCAAGACGTCCCACCACGGCCCAACAGAGCCTTCAAGACGGCCCCAAGAGCACCTCCAGACTCCAAGACAGCTTCTACATCTACGCGGAAGTCTTTGAGAGTTAGGCTGCAACAGGCGCAGATGAGGCTCTCAAGAAGCTCTCCAGCAACCCTGGACTCACCAAGAACACTGAGCGCGCAGACACACACACACACACACACGTGTCCTTCTCCGGCGGGCTCGGCTTAGCACTACACACCCTGGAGCACCAAGGAATGGCTCCAGAAGGCCGTCATTCTGACGGCGTTCGAGCTGGTCCGGACAGCGTCCCACCTGTCGGTGGCGCCCCCGCGGAGAGCTCCCGAATTGGTCCCTGGAGCCAGCACGATTCTGAGTCACGGAGTGAACGTGGGGCGGCCGCCACAACGACAACACAACTCGGTGAGGCAGGCGTGAACTCACCGAACTTGCCTCCCCGAGCTGTCCCAAGTCAGCCGCAGGACGGGCTGAAGCCACCTGGAGACGAGCGGCTCTGAGACGGCCCAAGAAAGCCCACCAGACCCCCCTGCTCTCTGAGAGTGCTTCAGGACTTCGACAGGTCCTGGCACCAAAGGCCGCAGGTATTCCCCCAACACACACCCGAGACCCCCCCCCGGAACAGTTCCAGAGCCAAACGGACTCGAGCCGACGTCGAAATTCCCCGAGGCCTGCCCACGACGGCCTTGGGACGGCAACGACATCCCCAAGACGCCCCGTGCGCCAGGCTTCACTCCTGACCTAGATCGACTCTCGGAGCCGGATCGGATCCGAAAAATGCATCGGATCGCCAAGCGGCTCGTCCTGAATCGAAGCGAAAACAGATCGCCACGCCTGTTTCCAGCGAGCCCCAGCCGATGCCCGTGAATCGAAGAGGGCGCGCCGCTGGATCCTCCAACAGGGGGGGAGTGTGTTCGGACCCCCCCCACCCCCCTTTCCCGGGTCCGTCGTCGGGGATCTCCCCACCCCCCCTTTCCTGGTCCGTCGTCGGGGACCCCACCCCTGTTTCCCAATCCGTCGTCGATGACCCCCCCCTTTGAAATGATGGGGGGGGTCCAGACCACCCACCCCTTCCTTCGGACTCAAAAGTCGGACACCCCTCCCCAAGTTCGCCACGCCGCCCAGTGGCTCCACCAGAACCCGACCCCTACCACTCCTAACCCTAACCCTACTCCTTAAGCAATAAGCTCACTCCGAAACCGAATCCTAACCCGAGCGCTACACACTACTCATTACTCATCACCCACTACTCGCTACCCAGTACTCAGTAGCCACTACTCCCTACAACTACTGACTACACACTAATCACTGTTCACTACTCCCTAACCGCTACTCACTGTTCACTAATCACTACTCACTTATCGCAACTCACTATTTAGTAATCTCGACTCCGTACTCACTACTCCCTACTCACTACTCACACTACCCACTACCCACTACTCATTTCTCGGCAATCTCTACTCACACTTCACTACTTTCTAGTCACTATTCACTACTCACTACAAACTACATAGTACTCCGTACTTCCCAATACTCACAGCCACAGCCGGAACCGCAGCCGCAGCCACCGCCGCAACGAGCCCGGACGATTCACGACCCCCTACTCCTTACTCACTACTCCATATTCACTACTCACTACTGATAACTCACTACTCACTACTCACTACCCAATACTCACTACCCACTACCACTGCTCACTACTCACTACTCATCACACGCTCCTCACTAATCTCTTTTCACCACTCATTACTCACTACCCTCTACCCAATACCTAGTTAACACTACTCACGACCCACTTTGCCTTATTCGATACTCACTACAGGGTACTCGGTATTCCCTGCTCCCTACAAACTACTCACTACTGCCTCGTACTTACGGCTCGCTCCTCTCTACTCCCTCCTCAGTGCCCACTATGCACTACATGCTGCTCACTACAACTACTACTACTACTCCTACTCCTACTCCTACTCCTACTCCTACTCCTACTCCTACTACTACTACTACTACTACTACTACTACTACCATTACTACTACTACTACTACTACTACTACTACTACTACTAATACTACTACTA